TTACAAATGTCGTACAAAGCTTTTAGCTGGTGAAGATTCACACCAGGGATTCATTTTAGAGAAAATACAACATGCCAAGTTATTTTCCATGGTAGACTAGACTCTAGTCAAGTAAGTAGATGTTTAATTTCTCTAATGTGAATCGTATTTACACACAGATTGGTAGTTAAGGGAATCACTACTTTCACGAAATGTGTGCAACATCAAGAGGCGACTATGTGATTATGTGAGATGGCACTGGACACTCGCAGAGATTCTTTGGTAAAACCATGTCCTTGGCCAGGTGCGATGGCTCATGCCTGTAATCCCACAACTCTGGGAGGTTGAGGCAGGAGGGTCACTTGGGGCCAGGAGTTCAAGACCAGCCTGGGCAACACAGTGAGACCCTGTCTCTACAAACAACAACAACAAAGAAAAAACTGTGTCCTCTAACACAGCTACTCACAGAGCAGAAGAGACACGGCCATGTTCATAAATAATTATAAAGCAGGTAGAAAGCGTGAAGGAGGAGGAACAAAGTGCCCTAGGAATTTAGAGGAAAAAGATCACTGCAGCTGAGGGCGTCCGAGAAGACCCCACGGAGGGGACCCAGGCAGAGAAGCAGTACGAGGGCAGAGCAAGGTCCATCCAGGCCGAGCACAGTGTGCCAGGGTTACAACACAGAACAGGGAAGACTGCCCAAGACAGTGGCTTAGGAAACACTGCATGAAGGGGAGGCAGATGCTTGGGACTGGATGGTGGGAGGACCAGAGTGCTACTGATTAAGATGGTTTTTGCAAAGTGAAAACAAACCCCCAATGTATGTCTGTACACCTGTAACATTTAGTGTGTCAGATATGTTTTAAAAAGTGCTTGTCCAGGTGCCAAGTCAGCACTGGTAAAACTGCATGTGGCTTCCCCTTGATGCAGCACTGCTCAGTAGCACCAGCGAGGCTACTGCAGTAATAAAAATCATGAACCACGCAGCTCTGCCTTCCCCAAAGACCAGGGGCCCTTCTGAAAGCGATGCCACTGACACGTCCTAAGCCCTGGTGCACACAGGTGAGGCTCCCCTTCTCGTGGACAGTATTCTTTGCTGAGTTTGCTCCCTATCTCCTGGAGCTAAAACTCTTCCCTCACTCCATCAGGTGTCTCAGATAAAACCCTTCCCGCCCTCCATCAGGCATCCCCCACCAGAGCACAGTCAGGGAAGGCCTGCTGGGGTGCGGGGGTGCGGGGGCACGTGGGCTCCAGTGGAGAAACCGACGCTGTTAGGACACAGTCCATCAGCTGAGAGCAGACATGTCCCTGCTTCCACACTCGCTCAATGCTGCTGTTTCAAACTGAAAACTAAATTTGTCAACATCTTTAAATATTTAGTTACGAGGTTTGGAATTTCGGGAATATCTTAATTTTTTGTGTTTTTGATTTTTTACATCAAATGATGGTGATTATCTTGGGGTAGATGGGTTTATGAGTGTCATTTATTTATGAGCTAAGGTATATATTCTGATTTTGTTTTCTAAAGTAAATATTTTTTATAAAGAAAAATAAATCCAATGTATACAAAATTCAGAAACACTTCAGGCTTTCCTTATTACCACTCATTAGAACTCAGTGTGGTTCGTACATTTAATGTATCAGGCATGTCCTGTGTGCTGGGCTCTGGAGAGCTGGGGAGTGAGAAGCTGGTTCTGCCTCTGGATCCAGGCTTCTCCCGCTCTGCTTGCTATCACCATCATGTTTAATTCTGCAAAATTTTTAGAAAATGAATGTTTCCAAAGACCAGCTCTGCCTGAAGCCTTTGCGCTTACTGCTGCCTTCACTGGACTTCCGCACATCTTCAGCCCTTCGCTGTGCTCTGCTGAAGTGTTCCTGACCGCCTGCCCCCAGGATGTCCCCCTGTGCTCATGGCACTCCAGCCTCTTACTGCCTACTTTTACTAACAATTACTCACTTCCTGAAAAAATTATCTACATGCTTACTGTCCATCTCACTGACTATGAGAAATGTTTGATTGTGGCACAAACTTTGTCGTAGTAAAATTTGACCTAGGCTGACATGAGCCCCTTCACACCTGGGTCTACTGCCCTCCTTGCTGCAGGAGCACTGCCACATGCGATACTGAGCTGTGGCATGACGCATCACATCTGTGCACGTCACCTTTCACAAAGCCAGAAGCCTAATTCTGAGGCACACCTACCCTCAAAGGTTCTGGCAAGGGGAGGTAAGCCTACACTGCTTTGTACACAAATTTAATTTCCCCCTGCTAGTAGACACGTTGATACTTCCAACTATTTTCCAATACTATTCAGACAAGGAAACACTGACTGAAAGGAGCTGTGAATAGGGCAAATAAGTAGAAAACCGAACATGTACAAAAATGCTTAAAGATAGTGCCAAGATTGCAAAGTAGCACAATGACCCATGATTAGCAATAGTGGATTTTGATTTAGCGGTCATATTGATGAAACCGTCTTCTGTACAAGAATGTACTGCTATTTGCTATTAAGAATACAGAAGAGTCCTCAACATTCTCACAGCACACATTCATTCAACATCCACCATGTGTCTGGTCCCGCTCCAGTGCCAAAGTAAGGACGGTGGCACGCTGCAGATGCCTCGCATCAAACACCCGCACCCCAACTCTGTTCTTCACTCTGTCCCTTTCCCTCACAGCAAACACCCACACGCCGAATCTGTTCATCATTCTGTCCCTTTCCCTTGCGTCAAACACCCGCACCCCAACCCTGTTCTTCACTCTGTCCCTTTTCCATGCTTTTTTTCTTTCATCTCCATGTTTTGGTTCATCTTTAGTGTATTTTGTCTTCTTCTACTGTGCATACTCCTTTCTTGTAAACCATGTGAAAACATTTTTGGATCCAGGTGGATAGAAATAAATGAAAAATAAAGAGGAAAATAAATGTATGTACTCTGTAAGAGGCCAGTGTTGCACAAAAGGCTTTAGAACTCTGTTAGCTGTTGGAGTGCACAGTGCTAAGTGTTACTAAGTCAGCACTAAAGCAACTCTGCTCTTCTCCCTTGACCCCCAGCCTGACATTTTAAGAGACAAAGCCAGAAGCAGCAGCCTCACATTGCCATTGCCCATCTCTCATAATTCAAGGATTTGCTCTTGCCCAAGGGTCCCTGTGGCTGGTGGGCAGAGGCAAATGGGACATCACACTATTGCTGAACTCATTTATGAAGCAGATTTCTGCATTTCCTATTTCCCCTAATGGGATAGATGGCAGTAAACATTTATGAGGAACAGAAAATGGTGAAAAGGGAGAGAAAACTTCAATATTTTAAGAACCTAGTTTAGTGAAATAAATCTAATTCTTTTTTTTTTTTTTTTGAGATGGAGTTTCGCTCTTGTTACCCAGGCTGGAGTGCAATGGTGCCATCTCGGCTCACCACAACCTCCGCCTCCTGGGTTCAGGCAATTCTCCCGCCTCAGCCTCCTGAGTAGCTGGGATTACAGGCACGTGCCACCATGCCCAGCTAATTTTTTGTATTTTTAGTAGAGACGGGGTTTCACCATGTTGACCAGGATGGTCTCAATCTCTTGACCTTGTGATCCACCCGCCTCGGCCTCCCAAAGTGCTGGGATTACAGGCGTGAGCCACCGCGCCCAGCCTATAAATCTAATTCTTAAGATGACCTCTTAGAAAAGGTTAATTTTAATCACAGGACAAGGTTTACCTGGCTCTTGAGAGAAATTTGGTAATTTATAATTTCTTAAAAATGGAGCTATTGTAATAATTAAAAGAGAAGGAAAACAGAAACAAGGAACACCACATCTAGGAAAAGTAAAAAAAAAAAAAGGCCAGGTGTGGTGGCTCATGTCTGTAATCCCAGCACTTTGGGAGGCCAAGGTAGACCGATCTTTAAGCTCTGGAGTTCAAGATCAGCCTGGGTGACATGATGAAACCCCATCTCCACAAAAAATAGGAAAATTAGTCAGGCGTGGTGGTGCGCACCTGTATTCCCAGCTACTTGAGAGGCTGAGGTGGGAGGATCGCTTGAGCCTGGGGGTGGGGGTCGAGGCTGCAGTGTGCCAAGATTACGTCACTGCACTCAAGCCTGGGTAACAGAGTCATACCCTGTCTCAAAAAAGAAAAAGAAAATTAAATAAAGCTTTTTGTAGCTACTTTTTCTGAAGTGATCTCAGGACGAGAGGAGGTTCCCTCCTCTGACCCAGTGGCCAACTCCAAGCACCTAGACAGGCATAAAAAGGGCGGAAAGAACTTTTGGAGGCTCACCCAGCAGCAACTTAAACAATCACTCTGTGATCACCCAGCAGCAACTTAAGCAATCACTCTGGGATCACCCAGCAGCAACTTAAGCAATCACTCTGGGATCACCCAGCAGCAACTTAAGCAATCACTCTGAGATCGAAAGTAGGACAGGGGTGGGCAGAGAGGGAGGTGGAAGTGATGGCACCAACCATTTGCCTCAGCAACACCTGCTGAGAAGGAAGCCCTTATTCTCTCAGGAACCAAATCTGCAGCTCTGCCTGGGGCTGGCCAGCCACTCCTAATGTGGTCTTACTAGAACGTCCTCACTTACACCCATTTCACAGAAATGCAGCTTTGCTGTTTCTAAACTGCCACTGCAGCAGAAATCCCAGAACCTGCTCAACGTAATTCCTACAGAGATTGTCTACATACATGAGACTAAGTACTTCAAGAGACAGATTCCTCAATCTGTCTAGTATTAGACAGATTTATCTGACTTAACAAGTCTGACAGCAGGAGTCTGGACAAACTACTACTCCTGTCATAAAAACTAAAATGTTCTAGGACAGAGTAAGTGCTATGAATGCTTGTTATGAATAATAGATATGAATGCAGACTGCAGGTTAAAAAACAGAGATGTACACCAACCGCAAGCATGACTGAAAGATCTCTTCTGAATGTAGCTAAGCATCAGCCGAGGGAGACGGGTGGAGACAGTCTGTGCTGTGCCCACCCCTGAAGCCACGCTGTTGACTCAGTGCCTGTGATGGTGGCGAATCTCACCTGCAAGCAAATTGCCAGGTTCACCCTGCAGCCAAACGAGGTGCTGACGGCCCGCGGGTGAAGGCCCAGGTCCTTAAACAGCTTTGAGAACGACTGTGTGAGTGCGATCCGAGGCCGCTCTTCTGCCACAACCACACAGGTCCTTACTCGGGACAAGTCCAGCCCTCGAGCCTGGAGATAACAACAGAGAAACTGGTGTTAAACCTTGTCCATGTGCTGAGCTTGGAGTGAGCCAGAGATTCCTTCACTCGGATCCCTGCATAAACACTGGAAAACTCAACACAGCTATACAACTTGTGTCCACTTCATTAACAAATCCAGGGTGTTGGTGAAAAAAACACACAGCTTATTCAAACGATTAAGAACGAAATTATAAACATGTCTCAAACAGCCACCTGGAGCCACATAACTGTGATGAGGAAAAAGGTTGAGGAAAAGCAACTTCCTGGATGAGACGATTAAAGGCAGTTTGGGAAAGGAGAGGCATCTGATACATTCTTGTGGGCACGGATGTACAAGAACACACATTGGAAAGAAACAGGAAAAATCTACACATTTTAAAGAGATGGGGTCTTGCTATGTTGCCCAGGCTGCAGTTGAACTCCTGGGCTCAAGAGACCCTCCCGCTTTAGTAGTCTCCCCACTTTGGGCTCCCAAGTAGCTGAGACTACAGGCATGTACCAACCACCACACCCAGCATGAAAACCTACATTTTAATATATAGGAATATAAAACTAAATTTTTTAGACAACTTCATATAGACAGTGCTCCATTTATGTCCCTTTACACTGAGAAGGTCACAGATAAATTCTCACTCTCAAGCGTGTCCATTTCTACAGTAAGCATAAGATTAAGAACATCTCTCAGTTTCCACACCAAATTTAGTCAGCTAAGCACAACAGCAAAAGTCATACAAGGATTTCAAGGAGTTAAGCGCAGCTCGTTCTGTGGTAAAAGCTGGCTCTGCCTCGGCCAAGTGGAAGGAAAAGAAGTTAGCAATAGGCTCATGAATGTGAAGGTGAACCGTGAGTGACCACGTCTTGGAGTGGAAACCAGAGCTATTAACAGGGCAACCACCAAAACCCCAACTGTCAGGTCCTTTGAGCCCTTTCAAGGTAGCCTCGGCATGCGGACAACTGAGAAGGGTCCTGATGAGGAGACACAGCTCTAGCTTTGGAATTTGCTCTCCATGTACAGGCATGACTGCACACACACAGTTAACCAGGAAAAACTCAAGTTAGTTAATTCAAATTACATACTCACATATGTGCATGTCTGAGAGGCAGAGCCACATGCAGCTGCAACAGCAGGTCTGAAGCCAAAGATTCTAAATTTGGCTCCAGGTTCATTCAAGGTAAGAACCTGGAAAGGTAGCTTAATTTCTCTGTGACATAACTTTCCTCATCTTTAAAATGGAGACAATAACGGCTCCTATATCAGAGAGCTATTGTAAGGATTAAATGAATATGTAAAATGCTCAGTGACCCTCAACTATGTCATTACTATTTTATTTTGGTTATTTATACATGTGCCTACAGGAAGTTCATGAAAATGCACTCACTTGCTAATATAATACAGGTGAAGGTGAATAATATTTTGTAACTTTTTTCTACAAAACTTAAAATGATTGCACAATTACTTATGTTACATGAAGTTATCTTGCATTTTGCTTTTCTGATCAAGCTTAATGCATTAGGAAGACAAAATGCAGGACAGATAAATGTACCGCTGAGCTATTTATCTGTGTGTAGACACAAACACAAATATACTCTGTCTATATACAAAGACATATATACATCCAAACAGTACATAGTCAGTATTGAAATCTAATCAAAACTGGTCATAGGATTATTCCCTCCTAGTTACTTGGAACTAAGGACTACTTAATTTACCATGAAGATATACCTATCAAAATGTCCTTGGTTTAAATGGAGGGAAATGCTACTAATCTTACATAATGGCAATTACTAAAAAACAAAACACAACACTGTTAATTGTAAAACAAATTTAGCTCAGGGTCCAGACCTACAAATCAGGGTCTCCAGGGAAAACAAAAATGAGTGGTTAAATTCAAACCTACCTTTTTAAACACCAATATCAGATAAAGTTAACACCACCTAAGAGCTTCTAAACACTGAACACTTCAGAACACTGAAGCCACCAAACAAACAAACAAACAAACAAACCAAGAAACAAATTCAGGATCTTTCAAGTAGACCCAGTGGAATGATAGACATTGAAAGTATTTAACATTCTGGCTCGTTGCTGTCTGTGGTTGTGGGGAAATATTCATGTTAAAAACATTTTCATGTTTTGACAGGTGGCTCACGCCTGTAAACCCAGCACTTTGGGAGGCAGAGGCGGGCGGATCAGCTGAGGTCGGGAGTTCAAGACCAGCCTGACCAACATGGAAAAACCCTGTCTCTACTAAAATTACAAAATTAGCCGGGCGTGGTGGTGCATGCCTGTAATCCCAGCTACTTTGGAGGCTGAGGCAGGAAAATCACTTGAACCTGGGAGGCGGAGTTTGTGCTGAGCCGAGATCGTGCCATTGCAATCCAGCCTGGGCAACAAGAGCGAAACTCCATCTTGGGGAAAACAGCAACAACAACAACAACAAAAACCATTTTCATGGCTGGGTGCGGTGGCTCACGCCTGTAATTCCAGTACTTTGGGAGGCTGGGGCAGGTGGATCATGAGGTCAGGAGTTCAAGACCAGCCTGGCCAACATAGTGGAACCCTGTCTCTACTAAAAAAAAAATACAGAATTAACTGGGCACAGTGGCACATGCCTGTAATCCCAGCTACTTGGGAGGCTGAAGCAGGAGAATTGCTTGAATCGGGACCCAGGAGGTGGAGGTTGCAGTGAGCCGAGATCACGCCACTGTACTCCAGCCTGGGCTACAGAGTGAGACCCCATCTCAAAAAAAAAAAATTTCATATGAAGGCCGTTTGTAAGCTTCAGGTGACGTCAAAATAAACCTAAGTTTTTTTTTTTGAGGATTGTTTTAAATTCACCCAATCACAGATGTGCCTTCTTAGAAATGAGTCCCTGTAGGCTCGTGGGGCGCTGAGCTGCCAAGGGAGCTGCTTACCTTGAGGGACTCTGTTTGTGAGCCCAGCCCCTTGGTGCACAGCTCCATCACGGAGTAGGAGCAAAATGTGTCTCGGACTTTGTACTGACTCACGGCAAGAAGCCACAAGGCAGGGTTGGTTTCCAGCTCAGAGGGTGGGATCAGGATGGACTGGTGCCCAGAATACACACTGCAGAGAAAGAAGAGGCTGTCAGGGCGGGAGCTCAGCAGCGCTGGAGGCTCAGGGCAGCACTGACTCCGAGGAAAAGGAGGACCTGGAACAGCCCGTGCTGCCATTTGTAGATGGGGAAGTAAAACCAACGCTGCAAATTGCAACATGAAAGCATTCTGAAAAGCAAATATGTACTAGAGAATCATGAGGCAGTTACTATCACTGTGAACACACAATTAAGACATCTAAATGCTGTGATGCTGTTACGTCTCTCAGACCTGCTGCATTATTAGCAAACTGGATCCTCTTTCTTAGAAGAAAACATAGGGATCAAATTTTTGCAAAAAGCTGTCTAACTTCGGAACAGAAACTAGCAAACCACAGACACTGCCTGTTTTTGTAAATAAAGTTTTATAGGAACAGGGCCACCACCACTTGTTTAAATATTGTCTCCTGCAGCTTTGAGCTGAGTGATTGGACAAAGACCACAGAACCTAAAATATTTACCAAACAGCAATTTAAGGAAGAGTAGGCCTATATCTGGTTTAGAAAACAGATAGCCAGGGTGAAAAAAAGACAATTATGATAATTAAAGTTAGTCACCCAAGCTTTTTAAGTTTGGATTTTTACTTAAAAATCATCCCAACAAATCACCAAACAGAAGAAATGAGGAAAATATAACCATTCTTTAATTTTACCTCCATACTAGAAAACAGATTTAGAGAAATGAAGAATAGGTTACATATTTCAATTCATCATCAACTGATGGGGTAAGTGTGGATTTAATAAACAACTTGTCAAAACTACATTTTTAATGTTTTTTTTTAGTTTACTACTATGAATTCACATTAATAGATATCATACATTAAAATGTCCTAGATACAACACGTTCTAAGATATAAAATTTAATTAATGAGAATGTTCTGTTGCCCAGGCTAGAGTACGGTGGTGTAATCATAGCTCTACTATAACCTCAAATTCTTGGGCTCCAGCCATCCTCCTGCCTCTCCTGAGTAGGTAGGTCCACAGGTGTGCACCACCATGCCTGACCTTTTTTTTTTTTTTTTTTTTTTTACAGTGGTAGGGTCTCACTGTGTTGCCCAGGTTCATCTTGAACTTCCAGGCTCAAGTAATCCTATCTTGTTACTGCTATGGCCATGGAAGATGTGCCTGAGCCTCCCAAAGTGTTGGGATCATAGGCATGAGCCACCATGCCCAACCTACACAGTCTTTTTTTTTTTTTTTTTTTTTTTTTTTTTGAGACAAAGTCTGACTCTGTCCCCCAGGCTGTAGTGCAGTAGCATGATCTTGGCTCATTGTAACCTCTGCCTTTTGAGCTGAAGCCTCCTTCCACCTCAACCCCCCAAGTAGCTGGGACTGTAGGTGTATACCACTAGGCCTGGCTATTTTTTGTGTTTTTTTTTTTTTTTCTTTGTAGAGACAGGGTTTCATCATGTTGCTCAGGCTGGTCTCAATCTCCTGGTTTCAAGTGCTCCTTCTGTCTTGGCCTCCCAAAGTGCTAGGATTACAGGCATGAGCCACCAGGAGAGGCCTACACAAAATTTCATCGAAGAAATAGCACTATGGTTAATGAGTTAGGTCTTGTTAACTACTATGCTATAATACCAAAGCCAGTTCTTTAATTTGGCCAATCTCATTTAAAAACTTTCCTAATTGTTCATAACCATTTTCCTTAAATAAATGTAAGGAAATTAAGTTGGCTAACAAAATATATTTCAAACAGGACCCTTAGCATGAAAAACTACTCTTCCGCAAATGTGACAAAGGTGTTTTGGGGCAAGTTTCCGGTTCTTTCTTCATTCTCTATCACAAAGCTTTATTTATTTTTGTCAAAAGGAAACACAGTCAGCCCTCTATATCTGTGAGTTCCCCATCTGTGGCTTCAACCATGAATCAAAGATATTCATGAAAAAAACTGCATCTATACCTAACTTGTAGACTTTCTTGTCATTATTGACTCAACAACATAATACAACTATTTACATAGCATTTACATTGCATTAGGTACTACAAGTAATCTAGAAATTATTTAAAATATAAGAAAGGAAGTGCATAGGTGATTTGCAAACACTATGCCATTTTATATCAGGGATTTGAGCACCCTCGCTTTTTGGTATCCACAGCGGTCCTAGAACCTGTCTCCTCCATTGACACTGAGGGTCGACTGTAAACAATGACCTTTTCAAGGGTTTAATCATTTGAGATCAGGGTTAGGCACGTAAGGGGTGAATATCAGGCCTCAAATTATTACTCTGTTGTAAGTTGGCCATTTTGCCTTAGTTTTAAAAATTTTATCGTGGTAAAATATATGTAACAAAGCTTACCATATTAAACACTTCTTTTTTCTGTGACAGAGTCTCACTTTGTCACCCACGCTAGAGTGCAGTGGTGTGATCACAGATCACTGTTGCTGTGACCTCCTGGGCTTAAGTGATCCTCTCATCTCCGAGTATCTGGGACTACATACCACCATGACTGGCTAAAATTTTGGGGGGAGAGATGGGGACTCACTACGTTGCCCAGACTGGTCTGGAACTCCTAGGTTTAAGCAATCCTCCTGAGTCCGACTCCCAAGTCATTGTAACCATTTCTACATATTCCTTGAAGTGGCTTCCTCAAAAATACACATCGGCATTAATGATTTGCTTGGTCAGAACTGTCAGCATACAAATGGGTTTGGATACCCAATGTGAATTCCTGACTGAATAATTTCAAACATACCTGTGAAAACTAAATATAGTTTCATCTCCTTCCTCATCCCCATAAGAAGTCAACATTTAGAAAAAACTAGTAAGTCTTGATGGCAGAAACAAATAGAAAACCCAACTCATGATCTCCTACTTGCCCTTACCTCGCTCAATATGACAAATGTTGATTAGTTGCTGTATTAGCCAAAATTGATTTTTTGGCACTAACAATAAATACTGCTATGGGCAAGACAAACCTACTTAATAGCAGGTTGTTTACTCTGAAGCCATTATTTTCTGATAATGTTTGGAACCTGAGCTGTTCTTTAGATCTTAACTTCTAAAAGAACAAAATAATTAAAAATAGACATTTTAGTAAGTAGCATAAATTTGCATATTAGCAATCTGACAGATTACTAACCTGACAAAACATACCAACAACTAAAAGCTCTCCCAACTTAGGCATTCAACAAGACAGGTTCACCTCACCTGGGGGGAGTCCCTGGTCGAGCCCCCTCTACCAGCAAGCATGACGTCCAGCCCAGGGTCTCGCTATACACTTTAGCTACTGCAATGAAACACTTTATTCTTTTTTTGTTTTGAGACACAGTCTCACTCTGTCACCCAGGCTGGAGTGCAGTGGTGCGATCTTGGCTCAATGCAACCTCCGCCTCCAGGGTTCAAGCGATTCTCCTGTGGCGTTATTTCTGAAGCCTCTGTTCTGTTCCATTGGTCTATATATCTGTTTTGGTACCAGTACCATGCTGTTTTGATCACTGTAGTATACTTTATTTATTATAGTATACTTTGAAGTCAGGTAGCATGATGCCTCCGGCCTTTTTATTCTTGCTTAGGATTGTCTTGGCTATGCAGACTCTTTTTCAGTTCCACAAGAATTTTAAGGTAGTTTCTTCCAATTCTGTGAAGAAAGTCAATGGTAGCTTGATGAGGATAGCACTGAATCTATAAATTACTTGGGCAATATGGCCATTTTCATGATATTGATTTTTCCTAACGAGCATGGGATTCCTAATGATTCTTCCATGAGCATGGGATGTTTTTCCATCTGTTTGTGTCCTCTCTTATTTCACTGAGCAGTGCTTTGTAGTTCTCCTTGAAGAGGTCCTTTACATCCCTCCTAAGTTGTATTCCTAGGTATTTTATTCTCTTTGTGGCTATTGTGAATGAGAATTCACTCATGATTTGGCTGCTTGTCTGTTACTGGTGTATAAGAATGCTTGTGATTTTTGCACATTGATTTTGTACCCTGAGGCTTAGCTGAAGTTGCTTATCAGCTTGAGGAGATTTTGGGCCGAGACAATGGGGTCTTCTAAATATACAATCATGTCTTCTGCAAATAGAGACAATTTGATTTCTTCTTTTCCTAATTGAATACCCTTTCTCTTGCCTGATTGCCCTGGCCAGAACTTCCAATACTATGTTGCATAGGAGTGCTAAGAGAGGGCATCCTTGTCTTGCGCCGGTTTTCAATGGTAATGCTTCTGGCTTTTGCCCCTTCAGCATATTTGTCCATTCAGTGGGTTTGTCATAAATAGCTTATTATTTTGACACACGTTCCATCAGTACCTAGTTTATTGAGATTCTTTAGCATAAAGGACTGTTGCATTTGGTTGCAGGCTCTGCGTCTATTGAGATAATCATGATTTTTGTCTTTGGTTCTGTGTATGTGATGGATTACATTTATTGACTGGTATATGTTGAACCAGCCTTACATTCTGGGAATGAAGCCGACTTGGTCATGGTGGATAAGCTTTTTGATGGGCTGTTAGAATCGGTCTGTCAGTATTTTATCAAGGATTTTCACCCATTCAGTATGTTCATCAGGGATATTGGCCTGAAAGTTTCTTTTGTTGTTGTGTCTCTGCCAGGTTTTGGTATCAGGATGATGCTGGCCTCATAAAATGAGTCAGAGATTATTCCCTCTTCTATTGTTTGGCATAGTTTCACAAGTAATGGTAACAGTTCTTCCTTGCACCTCTGGTGCAGTTCAGCTGTGAACTCATCTGGTCCTGCACTTTTTTTGGTTGGTAGGCTACCAATTGCTGCCTCAATTTCAGACCTTGTTATTGGTTTGTTCAGGGATTCAACTTCTTCCTGGTTTAGTCTTGGGAGGGTGTAAGTGTCCAGGAATTTATCCACTTCATCCAGATTTTTCTGGTCTATTTGCATAGAGGTATTTGTAGTATTCTGATGGTAGTGTGTATTTCTGCGGGATCGGTAGTGATATCCCCTTTATCATTTTTTTAATTGCATCTATGTGATTCTTCTCTCTTTTCTTCTTTAATAGTA